TTATCTGTACCAGTGTACATCCTCTGGTCTAGCCAGATTTGTAAGGTAGAATTGGGGTCATGATAGTGGGTGGTGGTGGGGGGCCAAGAAGCATTAAACAACTGGAGGAAAGTTGTATGTTTCATTGTTGCTGCACTGCACCCTGACTGACTTGTCTCCTCCCTGTGGCCCTTCTGTAAGGGGGTGTCCAGTTGCCAACAGGTGGGTTTTGGGTCTCCATACTCCCCCTCATTCACAATGATATGATTTTTTGTTCTTTGATGCCTGATACCTGATCCCTTTAACACCTCGTGATCACACAGGCTGGTGTGCTTCTCCCATGTGGGCTTTGTTGCTTCTCAGCTAGATGGCCACTTGTTTATCTTCAAGCCTTTAAGACCCCGGGCGCTATATCTTTTGATAGCTGAGCACCACCTGCTTTCTTCACCACATTTGCTTATGCACCCACTTTGTCTTCAGCGATCATGTCGGGAAGGTGTGCATCATGGAATGCCAGTTTAATAGAACAAAGTGTTCTTACGCTGAGGGAGAACTTGAGTGGAGGCCCAGTGTTCTGGTTTACTTTTTAAAAGGAACCTGTGCTCTTGGCCCTCAGAAGTGGTTCTACTTAACTCGGATGACCCCAAGACTGAGGAGTGTTCACTTGGAAAAGGAAGGTGACCATGAGGTCCCTTGCCCTGTCACACTCATGGGCTTTTTCCTGCCCGGTACTGGTTGGTGAAGTGCCTGAGGGTGCAGGGCTTCCTCAGTAGTGCCCTTGTGTTTCAGACGCTCCAGCCCTGGCACCGGCACGGTGGCACTCGGGGCAGCTGGGCCCAGTGGGAAGGAGCACAGCTGAGCTGTTGGCCTCTTGAGGCCTCGATAGGCCCTGTTCCCTGGGAGCCCGAGCCACCTCAGGAACTCCAGGGAGGAGGGACAGGAGGGCCTTCTCGTCCCCTCTAGAGGAGTTGGCCGAAATAGAGGGTGTCCATCTTTGGGTGAGGGACACATCCCTCCCTCACCTGGGGAGCCAGCCGATGCCGCCTAAAACTTTCCAGGAAGGTGCCCAGGGTGCATTTCTGGGGCCATGTCCTGCCCTGCCCCTTGGGCTTGAGCTGGGCTCCTACACGCTGGGAAGGGAGAGGTCAGTCAGGCTCAGAGGGGCGGTGGGGGATGGAGGCTCTAGGTTGGGCTGGCAGCCTTCCTGTGTGGTTTCTGAGGGGCCAGTGTCCTCAGCAGCACTGGTGTGGGGAGGGAGGACCCTGGTGCCGTCCTGAGCTCTGCTGCAGCGCGCCTCCTCCGGGGCCAGGCTGTTAGGCGGGGAATCGCAGCGTCCGTCTGCTGCTGTCTCTTCGCCCTCTGCTGGGCTTCCGCAGGACCATTTGTCACTGGCTCACTCCTAGCTGCTGTTTCTCACCTGTCTCGGGTCTGTCTAGAGCAGCGGTCCTCAACCTGGGGGTTGTGACCCCTTTGGGGGTGGGGTGTGTGTGGAACGATGCTTTCACAGGGGTCGCCCAATTCATAACAGTAGCAAAATGACAGTGATGAAGTAGCAACAAAAATAATGTTATGGTTGGGCGTCACCACCACATGAGGACCTGTATGAAAGGGTCATGGCATTAGAGAGGTTGAGAACCACTGGTCTAGAGAGTAAACTCCTGTGGGTGGCCCTCTCCTCAGAGCCCAGCCAGGCCAATGAGCTGTGAGTGGGTGGGTGGGTGAGTTGAGTGAATGAGTGAGTGGGTGAGCGAGTGTGTGGGTGGGCGGGTGAGTCAGTGGGTGGGTGAGTGAATGGACGGGCAAGTGAGTGAGTGGGTGGGTGAGTTCAGAGAGTGGGCTGAGTGGGTGAGTGGGTGGGTAGGTGAGTGAGTAAATGGATGGTCGAGTGAATGAGTGGGTGGGTGGGTGTCCTCAGACACCTGCTGAGGTGGGTCAAGCCTGTCTTTTACGTCCATCTTACATGTGAGGGCTCTGAGCTGCCCAAGGAAGGGATAGCCAGCAATCAAAATGGAGCCCTGGTACTGCAGTGACCCCAGTCCACTCAGGACGTCTGCCCACTCTACGCTCCCCAGGGGAGAGTCGCGGGCCTCTTAGAGGGCCACCTTGCACATTACCCTGCCGGCTGGCCAGAGTGCCCCTGGAGCTGCACCTGGACTTTTTGTGAGCAGCTTGGGTGCTCATACAGCCCACGAGACGCTTGCCTTTCAAGGTGGGAGAGGTGATGGTGCCCCATGAAATGACGGGCGGCCCCTCGAGAGCTTCCACTTAGAGCCTTAATTAGCACACACGCTGACTTTCCTAACAAGTGCATTATAATTACTTCTCAGGTTTGTTTTTTTCTTAAACAGCCAGTGTGTGGTGCTGGCGGCTACATTGGGCTCTGAGGTCTGGAAGTTTCCTAGCCCCTAAACTCAGACCACCGCAGAGACCCCATGTGGAATAAAGATGACGCGGATGTGCCAGGCATTTCAGGGTGTGTGGGAAGTCTGGGATGTGCTTGGCTTGGCGATGGCACTTGGTGGGGGACTTCTGAGGAGGAGGCCTGCTCTCAGGTGCAGATCGGTGGCAGCTTAGTGACAGTGAGCAGCCGCAGAAGCAGCCTCCTCTTGAGACAACAGAATAGCTGGTCCTTAGGGCAGGCCCGCCTCCCAGCCTCCATGAGCGGGCCTGCTTCTAGACAGCTGCCGGGTGCATGGGTTGAGGTGGAGCAGGCTCAGGGTCTGCTCTGTGTGCTGGACCTTGAACATGATTTTCAGCAGTGCCAGCTTCCTCCCAAACAAGGAGGGGACGCTAATCTGTCTAGGCGTGTGGCCATACGCTTTCACATGAACTGGAGCCTCGTCTGTCCTCCACTCTCAGCACCCCACTGGGGCTGGGTGCTCCCTGGGCTGGGTTTGCCTGGCAGCCACGCTGGGACACTCCCTCCCGAGTTGACACACTTTGCTTTCCCTCTCCCCCTGCAGTACACACTCAGTGGCAAGAAGGTGGAGGTGGCTGTGAAGCAGGTCATTGCTGGGAAGTCGGTGGAGCACCGAGGGGCCTTCTCCAACCCTGAGACCCTGGATCTGTACCGAGACATTCCTGAGCTCCAGGGCTTCTGAGCCGGCGGCCTGGCCCACACCGGCCGCAGCTGCGTGCCCTTGCTTCCTTTGTCCGGGTCGTCACCTAGATGTCTCTGGCGCCTCTAAAGACATTTGCACCAAGTTCTCTAGGCCAGGGAGGTGGCTTCTGTTTCCTGCTGATGGCCACCTGGTGCTGAGCCGTCCGCATGCTGGGCAGGGTGCTGGCCTTCAGAGGTGCAGCAGCCTTGTAGGCTGTTCGGAGCCCCAAAGTGTGGGTGCCGCCCAAGTGGGCAGGCTCAGCCTGGTCAGGGGTGCAGCTGGTGGGCACTCTGCTCTGAGCCTGGCTTCCTCGTGCGCAGGGGCACACTCCACCTGTCCACAGGAGCTGTTGCAGGTCACAGCCCCACATGATGTTCTGGACACATCACTGGTGGGAAGTACTTCCTGGTAGACCAGTGCCACTCCCGCCCACCACGGCCCAGAAGCACTGTTTCATAGGATCTCATTATTCAGGGGCTGTGGTTCTTTTTAAAATGTTTTTGTTAATGTTAATTAAATGTTAATGTTAATTGTCTGATCTGTGTCCTCAGAACTGGGTGTGTCTGTCTTGTCTGCCCTGGGGTGGGAGGTGCCCAGCGGAGGGCACCATGGCAGCCCCATCTCTGGGGGGTGGGGGTGGGGGAGGAGCATCTACACAGCGAGTCCTGGTCACAAGGCAGATGGTCTGTGCATCCTCTGTTCAGCATCGTCATCTGTATTCTGTGTTTGTATTTTTGAACAAATAGAGCACACAAAATACTGTCCAGTCCCTCTTAGTTCTGCAGTGGAGAACTGGAGGGAGAGCTCGATGAGGCAGGTGATCACATGATCGGTGGACGCATCTCTGCACGCAGCTGTCCACAGGCCTGTGTGCTTTCCCAGGTTTCCCAGCGGCAGGTGGCAGTGGCTCTGTGGGTGTGGGGGCGGCCACATGAGACTTGCCAGCTGAGAGGAGTCCTTTGGTCATGGCTCCTGGGCCCCCTCCTGGGCTTCACATCATCACAGCAGTCCCCGGGCCTCCTGGACACAGCTTTGCTGCCTGCTGCCTCCAGTCTGGGCTCAACCAGGCGTGGACCTGGCGCTTTGTGGACTCTTCCTAGTCTGTCCTCCCATCACCGAGTCCAGGCATAGCCCATCCCCAGGTTATTTTTGCACGTAATAGCGTAGGGGAAGGCCACACGCTCTCCTGTCTTCCCTTACTCAGCTATCCCAAGTGTGACTTTTCTTGCTCACTGAGTGGCCGTGCCCACCTCTAGCCGTCCATCCACTTGTGTTCCAGACAGGAAGGAGGAGGAAGTGGCCAGAGGGCAGGGAGGAGGCAAAGAGCCTGTGCCTTCCGAGACCTGTGCTTCTTGGCAGGAACACAGTGGCTGTTTGGTGAGCAGCCTGTCCAGTGGACAGCTGTCTGTCCCTCCGTGAGCAGCCTGTGTACATGGACATCCAGCTGCAAGAGAATCTGGGTTCTGAGTTCCTTGTCAAGTTCCTTGTGGCTGCCGGAACTATTGATTGTTTATTGAGCGGCTGAAAACAACACACAGGCAGGAACTCGAGCTCTGGAGGGCAACGGCAGTCAGAAACAGGCCTCGGGAGGCTGGTCACTGTCGGCAGGGGCCTTCTGGAGGTGTGTGTGTGGGGGGGCAGCAGTCCCTTGTCTTTTCCAGCTTCCAGAGGCTGACCCTACTGCTTGGCTGGTGGGCCCGTCTTCTGGCTTCAGAGCCAGCTGTGCCTAGTTGAGTCCACTCACATCACACCACGCTGACCACCCAGCCTCCCTCTTACTAACAAGGGTGTTTGTCATGACAGCGCGGTCACAAACTGGTCACAGGGGCTGTCTCCCTGTCTGGAGATGCTGAGCTTCATCCCATCTGCACAGTTCCCCTGAGCTATGGGCCACGCTCTGCAGACGCATGAGGAAGAGGGGGATGGTTCCTGGGAAGTCAGCCAGCCAGCATGTCCCCGGAGCAGGGAGACTGCTGCTGTCCACTGCTCCGGCCTGGACTCCTCCCCAGCCTCAGCTGAGTGACCACCTGCCCAGGTCCTGCTTCCCTCCAAACTCAAGTCAAGCCGGGCACCTGCAAGACAGCCAGTCCTCCATCCCGTGCTCAAAAGACCGACTTCCTGTCGCCTTATGGCAGGGAGCCATGTGGCTTCAACGCGGCGCCCTTTCGTTCCGCCAAGATGTCCCAAGCTGGCGAGCTCACGCGTCCTTCCTTATTAACGAGCCACTTCATTAACGAGCGGCAGATGGTCCGGAACAGCAGAGTTTCACTCACGCAGCGCGGGCTGTGCTGGCCGGGCCGTGGCTGAGCAGCATGTGTTCCCACCACCGTCCCACACCACCAGGGCTGGGGTGGCCAAGGGCCACAGCTCCCACTGTATGTGGGAGCTGGCACAGCCTGGTGGTGGTAGCCAGCGTGCTAGCCTCCTGCTCAGCTCCATGGCCTGCTGGGGTCACTTCCAGGAATCTTGCACTGAGGCTCCTGGCCAATGTCACCGAGCCCTTCCTTTCTGCGCAGCCTCACCCTGGATCTCCGGCTTCTGGCCCTCCTCCTGTGCGCCCACACCCTCTCTGTTTCTCTTGCCCTCACCACATTCCCAGCCCGAGGTTCCCTCCCTTCTCTTTGCCCCAACCACCCCAAAGATTGCTCAGGTTGTCCCTGTGTGTCACTTTTATAAAGACACCAGTCAGTGGAGTTGGGGCTACCCTCATCCAACCTGAGTTCCCCTTACCCAGAGTATTTCTGCATAGACCCCAATTCCAAACAAGGCCCCATTGCACCTCTGGGAGCTAGGACTTCACTTGAACACATCTTTTGGGTGGACACAAATCAACCCACCACAGATGCAAGAGACTCGGGTTGAACCAGATTTACTATTAAGGACCAGGCCATGTTCTACCAGGGCTCAGGTCTGTAGAGGGGACATCACACAGGTGTATGGTGTAAATTTTAACCATTAGGGTACAGGATTAGACTGCTGTAACAGACCCCTCCATCTAGCAGCTCAGTAGGAAAGGTTTTGTTTGTTTGTTTGTTTTTCTCTGCACTGTAGCAGCCCTGGGTGAAGGAAGAGGTGGGTGGCAGTGGCTTGGTGGCTTTGCTTCACAGGGTCATCCAAAGGCTCAGGTCTCCATCTGGCTGCTTCAGTGTCATGTGGCTCGACTGAGGCTGGCTCGTGTTCCCATTCCTGCCCCATGAGCAAGGGACACAGAGGAATCGGCCCCTCCATCTGCTCACACCCCATGGGTTTGAACGTTGTCACATGGATACACAGGCAGCTGGGACGAATTCTCTCCAGTTGACTGGTCATGTGGGTGGAGATAGGACGGTGTGGATGAAGGAGACCCCTCATCATTCCTGCCACGAGTATAGGAGACACCAGGTGGCATGGACAGTGGAGAGCTTGGCTCCTAGCTAAATGTTGGTGACTCCAACCCACCCAAAGGTGCAGGGATCCGGCCACCTCTCGTGACCAGGTCCCCCTGCCCACCGTGCACCACCCACAGGCCTATTGCCCTGACTCATCAAACCCACTCCAACTGTACCCCTGACCGTTTCCCAGGGGTGGGAGGCGGCTCTCTCTGTGACCACACCAAGTGGTTTTCTTAGATGTTGGAAGAGCTAGGGAATTAGTCTAACTCATTCACTCAAGGTACACACACACTCTGATCCTGCCCCCGGGACCAGAGGGCATCACAGCAGGTGCTGATGTGTAAAGACTGATGTTCAACAAGAACCTGATGAGAGAATGTATTCGGGGGAAATGATTATGATGTTTTGCTCCTTGGAAAAGTGGAGGGTCAGGAGAAGAGAGTGAAACCTTCAAGGAGGTGGACTGACATGACAGCCCAGCAATGGTGAAGAGGGAGCAGGACCAAGCAATGTTTCCCTTCCTTGATAGAAAGGTTGCCATGAATTAGAGTTCACAGTGAATAACAATGGGTTGAACAGTCCCCCAAAACATACTGACAAGGTAGCCCCCGGCACCTGTGAAGGTGACTTGATTTGAAAATAGATGGAATTAGTTTACTGCAGGGGTCCTCAAACTTTTTAAACAGGGGGCCAGTTCACTGTCCCTCAGACCCGTTGGAGAGACAGACTATAGTTAAAAAATAAACTATGAACAAATTCCTATGCACACTGCACATATCTTATTTTGAAGTAAAAAAACAAACGAGGTAAAAACACCCAGCGGGCTGGATAAATGTCCTCGGCAGGCCACATGTGGTCCGCAGGCCGTAGTTTGAGGACCCCTGGTCTACGGCATATACGAATAGGGCACCGGTCCAGTATGACTAGTGTCCAGTGTCCTACACACAGACACACACACACACACACACACACACACGGAAATGGCCACATGAAGATGGAGGCAGGGCCGCATGATGCTGCCACAGGCTGAGGAAAGAGAAAGAGGCAAGGGAAGTTGGGCCCCAAGAACATTTTGAGTGGGTCCCGCCAACACCGTGCACTCAGACTTCTGGCTTCCACAACAGTGAAGGAACACGTACGTATCTGTTGTTTTAAGCCACCGGATTTGCTGCCACAGGAAACGAATACAGATGGGTGGCCACGAAGGCCAAGAGGTGACCCTGAAGGCATAGCCTAACAGGTGAGATACTCCATGAGAAGCTGCCAAGTAGCCAGGCAGGGGAAAGAGCCAGAGCAAAGGCCCCCAGAAGGAGAGCCGCTTGGGAGAGAGGCAGGTCCACCATAGCAGGGAGCACTGGACTGTCCTCTGGGGGTCCCATTCCAAGGGTTGCCTCTAGGGGCAGCAGCGATGGGGTGCTTGGGAGGGTGGAAGACGCCATTGATGCCAGCTTCCCACCGTCCTCTCTCCCTTCTCTCGTTTGTGCAGAAAATACAAGGCGGTTCCAGTCCATCAAGCAAATAGGTGTTGAATACACAGCAAAGAGGCTTAGGGCGCCTTCTGATTAGGGTTGGCTGTGATGGACTGCGGACCTCTCTCCCTGAGCCACGACTGCTTTTCACATTAACGTAAACGAATTCTAAAAGGCTCTGGCGGCCCGAAACATTCCAGCAGGCCGTGAGCAAATAAGTCAGGGCCGGTTACAGGGAACCTGCTTTTCACATTAACGTAAACGAATTCTAAAAGGCTCTGGCGGCCCGAAACATTCAAGCCGGCCAAATAAGTCAGGGCCGGTTACAGGGAACGCCTGGAATACTGCTCGTGCTCGGCTGTCGTGGTTCATCATGCTGGGAAGCGCTCTCGGCCTCCCGACAGTCAGTGGCAGGCCTAATCGCTTCATCAGATGGCGTCCAGGGGAGCAGCAGTTGTGAGTCAATTCATTATGCCCTGGAACATCTCCAAGCTTTTCCATCTTGCGGCACCCTCCCTGTTTTCCCTCTCACGTCTTTCTTCCTCAGTCTTGACTAACTCGCAAGCGGACTGGATGTCAAGGAGGCTGCCCAGGGTCTCCCACTTTGGAGATGGGAATCCACCCCAGGCTTGACCCCAGATTTCCTCCCTCTGGGGCCATGGCTTATCAGCCCTCACCCCACTTGCCTGCCCCCT